CAACATCAACTATGAGGAGAGCCAACCTTGATGTTCTTCAAATACCCCAAGATTTTGGGATTCAAAAGCCACCATAATATATAAGTGGTGAGTTGAATCTGGGCTTCTGAAATATCCCTTTTATTAAGATTAGAGTCCCTCTTAATGATTAAACTATTGCTTGTATATAATTAATGATCCTGCTTAGAAAATGATACTTTTGAATATATTTACATAATTTCATCCCAAAATGTTGTAACTTTAAAACTATAACATTTCACCATCTAATTATAAATTTTATTTTATAACTTTTTGGTTAAATATTCTACAACATTGTATTTTCTGGCATCCACCTCCACTTCCAATTCCATAAATACATACAAACAGAAAATGGGAAAATGAAAACAAAAAAAAAATCTATATCTATATAATGGATCAATCCTTATTGCCATAATTGGCATGATTTTAGGCGGGAAATTTTTTCGTCTATATTTGGCGTTTTATTGATATTTATTTATTAAAAAATCTTAGGCATTAAAAACATAATTAATTTGTATACACTCAATGACTATTACTCATTAACTAAAAATTGGTTGAAATTGAAATTTTGACCATAGATTTATTAGATATATTTTTAATAAGATCTTATATTAATTTAATAGTAATTTATTGACACAATTCAAAAAATTATCATGGAAATTGATTTGATTAAATATATTATCATCTATGGTTGTTGTTGTTATTAATTTAATATATTATATTCACTATTCAAAAGTATTTTAAATATTTAATAAAATAATCAGAATAACTATGTTTAAATATACTAACTTTATAAATAATTTAAAACATTAATAAAAGTTTATAAAATGTAGTCAATTTAATTATAAATAAGTACATATAAATAAGTGCATCCCCATTGAATATATTATATGCAGTGGTAATACTATTGAAAATTTAAATAATATACTAATAAAAATAAAATTTGATGGTCGGGTGCAATTCAGAATTATAAATTTCACCTTAGAAGTATCTATGTAGATTAAAAAACTATTACATTTTTTAAAAAAATATATATATATATATATATATATATATATATTCGTATATACTATTTTAAAAATAAAACATAAGTTAATAAAATAGCAATGTAATAATTTAAATTATAGTATTTGGTAATTATGGAAATATATAATATATATAAATAATCGGATTGATACTATGTAACTCATTATATAGGTTGAAAAAAATAATTAAAGAAATAAATATAAATAAAAAATAAAAACATAAAAATAAAATATTAGCCATTAAAAAGTGTGTATTGCATAAGAATTAAACTTAAAGTTACTAAAAATTAAAATTTTATCTATCAAAGTTTTTAACATTGAATGCACTTGATAATTATAGCGGAAGATAAATATTATGTGTTAAACGTTGGTCAATTATTACACAATGTGCAAATTATGAATTGTTGAAAAAATTATAAGACTATAATAAACAACAATTTTATAAGGACATACAAGTAATTTGTGTGCAAGTAACATATAATCTTATACATTTATAATATTAAATAAACTTATAAATTATAAAATTTATATATTAAACAGTTACAAAACAAATATATAAATATATATATATATATATATATATATATAGAGAGAGAGAGAGAGAGAGAGAAATTAACAATAATAGTAATTTAATAAATGTCATATTATTACTGGATACAATATTGTGGAGAATATAATTTCATATTGTCTTAAATAATTTTATAATATTTAAATAAATAATATTTTTTTGTAATGTATCCCGTGCATCGCACGGGTATTAACACTAGTAAAGAAGAGAATCAATTAACAGCCCTGCTCTAAGAAAATTTTGGAAAGTATCAATTTCTTATAGAAAGTTCAAAAACATTTCCATGTCTTGGAATGACCATGTTCGAGCATCTCCAATGCTCTAATGTTGTAATAGAATAAATTGTGGCAAATGTCAATAAATCAAATAGATTGTGAACCATGTAGGAAAAATAATAAGTTCACAACTATGAAATTAAAAAATCATCTCCAATGCATAATATAGTCTAACTACAATATTATCTATTTGCCAAATATAAATTTTTTAATAAGAAGTAAGAAAATTAATTAACTAGCTTAAAAATGGTAAGAATAATTCTCTCTCCTCTTCATTGGCTAGCTAGAATGTGAAGGAGAATATAGAAGAACCACATTCTTCTCTACATTGTAGACATCAATTATGTCCACATCATCACAACATTTGTGGTCACATTATACATTGGAGGATAGAAAATTATCACACTACCAAATATGTTGATGTGTCATGTAAGATGCTCTTATGTAAAATGGCCTCAACTGCTCAACTAAAAGGTGGATTACTAGTAGGATGCACATATTGGTTTTATATTATCCTTTATTTATCATTGAATTGAAATCTATATATATTGAAAGATGTTGATGAAAAATCAGAAATAGAAAGTTGAAAAAATTCAGGTCAAACCTTTGACTTACCAGTTTTAGAATTGTTGTTTAAAATTTAATTTGGAGCATGTTCACGGGTGTAATAATGATTTGTGGCAATTTATAATTATTTTTGGTATTACTTGAGATTCAAATCGCACAAAATCAAGAATTCAATTTTTCAATTACTTCAATTACAGCTGACTTGAGTATTTTTTATTTTTTTTTAACGGCTGAGTTGATTTACAAATTTAAAATTACTTATTATTTTTTAATAATATTATTTTTAATCTGATCTAAATTTTTATTTTTATTTTTCAAAATGTAATTACATATAAATAGCATATATATCCCGTGCCTAAAAAATATTACAAACTGTAACATAAATTCTACCAATGAGATTAAATCCGAAAATATTTGTATTTTCTGAGAATGAAAACAGAAATAAATAATTGAATAAGTATATCTTATATGTAAATTGCAGAAACAAAAAAAAAAAAATAATAGCTAAACAATTAAAGGTAACAAACATAACAATTAGATCAAACATTCAAATTTTAAAGAGATTTAATATCACAAAACTCTATTTATCCGATTTTTGTGGTAATTTAATTGCAACAAACAGATGGGCCCGATTCGACATACTTTACCTAATATTTAGGAAACATGCACTTTCAAAATGACGCACGATGGTAAAAAAACAATAAAGTAAATAAACTTAAATTATGAAAATTAATAAAATATATATCTATATATATTGAAAGAGATTGACGGAAAAATCATTTGTGGAAAGTTGATTAAAAAAATGGGTCAAAGCCTTTGACTTACATCTTTTGGCAATCCATTAAATTCAAAATTTTAATGGCTTTTGAATTCATGTGTTTAATATATATAATTTGCCAATTTTAAATTACTCATGGTATAAATTACGTTTACTCTTTTGCGACATTTCTATTTATTTATTGTACATATTTTCTATGCAAAAATTTGCTTGAAATCCGATTCCATTTGTAAAGGTATCTATTAATATTTTAAATCGTTTATAAATTAGAGTTTGGTTGGTTGGTTAAGAACTTAGTTTGTAAATGAATCCGGCTTACCATGTTTATTTGAAATTTATGTTTTCAATTAGTAGAGAGATTTTCTATAGAAAAAACGTTTGGTTGTGAAACTTTATCTCTCTTTCTAATTTAAAATTAACATATATTTATAATCAATTAAATAAAACTTAATGTATACATTTTTTTTTTTTTTTGTTCACAATTACATTGGGCTACTATAATCAAATAGATATAAATTTTGTCCTTTATAATTGACATGCATAAAATGGAACAAATTAACACAAATGTAATCCAAAATTTCGATTTACATATTATTTGACCAATTATAAATCTACCATTCAAATTTACATACTAATAATGAAATTATGTAAATAAATAATCATATGAACGAATGATAAATATAAATATACATCAGTCAAATTTAATTTACCATATTGTTTCATAGAAACACATCTAAATAAATAAACATTTCAAAGAATTTCAATTTCACATCACTGGATAATAAAAAAGCTAATACATTGTTACCAATATTTTAAGGAACATTCACTTATAACAAAAAAAATATATCATTCTTAAAAATTATTTTACATTCTGAATGCAATATTTTGGACTTAATTATATCTAAAAAAAATTTCACAATTTTGTTACATAATTGTAACGAAATCCGGTTAAAACAATTCTTAAAGGACTCTTCTCATTTTATGTTAGTAAAAATCTAAGCAGATAGTAAAATGCATCTCATATAAAAGATTCATTAGTATCTTATCGCAAAATAAGTTGAACCAAATGGAAACATTACAAACCTTAAACGATTTTTTTAATTAGAATCATATCGCATATTTAACACAAATAATTTGTGACATCTATATAAGTAATCAATTACACAAAACATAAGCCACATATTTTAGCATTTCTTTGAATCCCTAAATCTATGATATAGATAATCAATTACACAAAACATAAGCCACATATTTTAGCATTTCTTTGAATCCCTAAATCTATGGAATCCGACTAGTTTCATTTTTACATGCCGCTTGTGTAGTGTTTTTTTAATTCAGTTTCCCCAAAAAGCAAGTTATACTTGACATTAAGGGTTGTTCGTATATTTCAAAGAAAATTTGAAGCCAAGTAGCTAAAATAAATTTCAACAATAAAGAGGTATAATTTTTTTTTTTGTCATTTTTTCTTTATTATCATCTAATCCATATGATAAATTATTAAAATTATTAGTCTGTGGTGACGATAGCTCGCCACCAAATCAAACCAAAATATTGTTTACAAGGAAGCATTCAATAATTTGTGAATTTTTCAATTTGTCCAACCTGTCAACATTTGTTACATATACACCAAGTCAATTAAATTCAATATTCAAATATTAGAAAAGTTTTAGAAAAATATATCATCCCGTGCATCGCACGAGCCACAACTAGTGAAAGGAGGAAACATATACATTTTGCTCCAATATTTATTCATCGACAATTTGAAATAGTCAACCATGTAGAATTTTCCTGGCAAATCCTTGTAGAGAACTTCCAATCCCGGCTTCCACTGCTTCTGCCAAGTATTTTGCCTGCAAATGTGCACAACGGAATAAAATGTAAGAGAGTTTTCAAACCCATTATAAGAACACATAACGAGAAAGGAAGAAAGAAAAGCCAAAACTCTAATCCTTGTTAGTTCATACGCCTGAAGAAGTTTCACGGCGTTATGTATTTCAAATCACTCCCGATATGAGATTGTCAAGATCTCGTGTACAACTATGTAGAGCGTCGAGTTTAAACATTGAAGAGATTAACTGGTTACCTCTAAGGTATAATTAGTTTTCAAACAGGTGAGCTTAAATTATTAAACACTGAAGAGATTAACTGGTTACCTCTAAGGTCTAATTAGTTTTCAAAAAGGTGAGCTTAAATGATTGAAAAAAGACGGTTAACGTTTGACGTCTGTCTTTCTTTTACATATCCTTGCCTCGAGGAATGTAAGTGTGAGAAGATATTTATCGTTCAAAGAGAAGTTTACTTACCACGGAGATTAACTGGTTACCTCTAAGGTCTAATTAGTTTTCAAAAAGGTGAGCTAAATGATTGAATAAAGACGGTTATCCTTTAACGTTTGACGTCTGTCTTTCTTTTACATATCCTTGCCTCGAGGAATGTAAGTGTGAGAAGATATTTATCGTTCAAAGAGAAGTTTACTTACCACGGTAAGCATCTTGAGAAATTCGGAATTGAGAAAGAATGAACCCAACACGATAGATATATACGTAAAGAATGAAAACCCGAGAAACTATTTAAGAGTAAAAATTCAGTAGGGAACAGCAGTAACTACCTCTTGAACAGACTTTCTAAAATCAAAGGCATCTTTAATCCGTCTGTCCATAAAAGTCCATGTGTTCTGAAAATCTATCCATGAAGAGACCATTACACAGCAATGGGTTAAGAAAATGTCATGCTAATTAAACCTTCTTAACTTCCAAGGCGCAAGCTAGCAAGAAATGTTTTCCAAGTTGTACGCAGAAAAGTCCCCAACGAAGAATTGAGAATCAGTGAGATCAATATTCCCCTCTCAATTGAACTACACACTTCATGTCCCACTATACGCATGCCTTATAACTCACAACACGATAGATAGCTAACCTGGGGAGGTATCAGTGAGCATGTAGAGTTCAACTACTGAGTAAATCCCACCAAGTACCGCACGCTTGGCATGCCAATCACTATTAGTGGCCTCGTAACCAGCTGTATGCCAAATCTCTTCGACAAGCATTGTTCGTTGTCTTAAGCTAGTTGGTATATTCCAGGGTTGCACCTACATTTCAAACACTTCATAAAATATCTTGCGGGAAAAGCATAAAGAATATCCAAAAAAAAAAAAACACTCAGTACCTGTATGCTTAGTGCTTGAGGCCACTTGGAAATGTAGGGAGCTTGCATCTCCAAGCGAATTCTAAGAAGTTTCGCTACACGCTGGCTAGGGATCAAGCTCTGCAAATCCTCTTTCATGTTGATCACGTCAATCAGCCTTTGCAGGCAATCATCCATGAAAAACTTGACAAATAAAATCACGAGGGCTTAGGCGAAAGAGCGGAACAAAGGCTACATGTATTTTAAAAAAA